ATGTGTGAATAATAGAAAGAGAGAGAGAGAGAGAGAGAGAGAGAGAGAGAGAGAGAGAGAGAATGAGGGAAAGAATGAACGAGAGCGCGAGAGAGGGAGAGCGAGAAAGCGAGAAGAGAGCGAAAGAGAGAGAAAATGAGGGAGAGAAAGAGAGAACAGAAGAGCTCCTCCGTTGAATGACATTCATTATTATTAAACAAAATAAAAATATGGATTATTTGCACAATATTATAAATAATTACTATGTTTACTACGATTATTAAATTAAAGAGCAAGTAATAAAAGGAATAAAAAAACTGTTGTTAAATAATTAATACGAAAGAGGGAATATACGAAAAATAAAATAAATAACGAAACGATTTAGCTGAAGATCGATATCGGATTTAAGCAAAAAAATAAATAAATAAATAAATAAATACAAACATAAAAATAAAAGAAAAAAGAGAAGAAAAATAGGGAAAAGACGAAGTTAAGAAAGTGACGAGAATAAATATGATCAAGACGAAGGAAGGATGGAGGAGGAAACGATTCGTTTGTTATCGATTAGTTAACGATCATCCTTACATTACATTATTGTAATTATATAAAGTAAACGATTATTACCGTAATAGTTACAATTAACAAGTTGTTACCGCTTTGTTATACATAATATAATTAATATACTAAGATTAAAAGAAAAAAAAAAGAAAAAAAGAAAAGTAAGCGAATGCATCGTTGATTCGTCCTTTACTTATGTAGGTAACTAAATAACGATTTGACTCTATTATTGTTTTTAATGTCTTCACCGTATTCCTTCGTTTGCTACCCGATTTCGTTTCGTTGTCGAAAAAATGAAGAAAAAAAAAAAGATTCGGTTTTGTCGGCTTACCTCGCCCGGCCACAATATACACACGTTTTACAGAGATATTTTCAATAAACGAAAAAGCTTAACACTCATACGGTTGTTGTCCTTGTCATCATTTGACCCTGCAATCATGGACTGTCTGCTATTTCTACAGGCTATTTCAATTCATATCCTTGAGAGTTTCACGGCTCTTTCAATTTACCATCAAAATATTGTTCGAAATTAACTGTGATATTTTATAAAAGCTCATAATAATTCATAATCCCTATAATTAATTATATTTATCTGTTAACTGGCTTATTTTTTAATATTTATTTTAATATCAGAAATCAATAACCAGGAAATTCATTTTAATCAAATTTTATCCAAATTTTACTCTTGCAAATATAAATATAATATAATATATATATATATACTTAAGTATAATATATTATACTTAAATTTTCAAATTGACATTTAATGATGCATTTAAAATACATTATAGTTAATATATATTAAATTTAACAATAAGAAATTGTAAAACCAAATAATGAGTTAATAATGAGTTCTTTCCCCAATTAACAGTTAATCTAAAAATATCAAAATTAATGCAAAATTATTTTTGATTTTCTGTTATAGATAAATGAATTCTATTAGTATGAAATTAATTTTGAAAAAAGAATCACTTGATTCTGATTCTTTAAATTTTTCAATGACGTTCTGTATATTTTGTAAATATACTTTAAAACAATCGATCTGTCACGTATTCTGAACCAAATATCAAAAGCTAAATACCTAAATATTTTTAAAAAATAATTTCATTTCTATACAGCGTTAAATTTTCTTAAAAATTATTTAACAAAGCCATTAAATTATATTGATAAAATAATTTTTTGAATTTAAATAAAGGAAATAGTTATTCATTATATCCGTGTGTGTTAAACACTAATATCAATTACAAGTTAATTTGATTCATTCTTTTTATACATTCTAAAATTATACATATACTTCTGTTCGCGTGAAACGATTAAATATACTTTCGGATATAAATAGATACTCATCATGCTATAAAAAAATTCTGCCCGCTATTTCGAGCCACGTCAATTTGCGAGCCATGTCGATTTTTTCGTAAAGTTTTTGCCGCGCGCAAAATAAAGGTACTTGTCCTGAATTAATGCTGAAAGCGGCTTTCTCCTTGCTACATCGATGAGATATGTGCAACTTACATATACACAATGCCTCGTGTCTTTGACCAACCGTATATGGCTCTCTGGACCGGATTGATGCAGCATGAATACCTAATTTCGAAAGAATATCACCGTCTCCTCGTGATATCTCAAACCTTTAACAGTTCGCGTAATGCGTTATGTCTGGTAATCTTGCACCAAGAATACTCAGAGGAATTATAACTTTCACGAAATGCGCATTCCCTATTCATTCATTCTTTCTTTTTTTCTTTTTTTCTTTTTTTTTTCCTATCCGTACTTAAAATATCCGCAAATATTATTGGACTTTGCATATCATCGATTTGCGCGGAGAAAAAGAAAATGGAAGAATATATCCGGTTCTTGGTGGACATTTGGTTTAATTGTTAGGATTTAACGAAATGAAATAGAAAATAAAAATGGAGATTTGAAGCATAAATAATGATTTATTAAAATTATTAATTATTTTTGATAATTATTATATCTTATATAGATAACTCGACGATGCAATTTAAAATATAGATGAATTTGTTTAATTTAAGAATAAAAAATATTTTAGTTTTGTATTTTTTTGAAGTATTATTTATTTTTTGAAATTTTTAATAACAATGAATGTTTGAATATATAGTTTAAAATGTGAATGAAATATAATAATAATAAACATTTTTTTATATGTTTTTTGATCCATTTTTTGATGAATAAATACAAACGCTTAAAATTAAACATAAAATGTAGATGAACACTTTAAAATGCAATAAAACAAGTGTAATTTATACTTTTTTTATTTCTTCTCTTACCTTTTTACCTATATGTATATTTTTATTATATATCTTTTTTACCATTGAAATTAAAAATACATCAATATTTAACCAAATGTATATATAATTTTATATTTCCATTTCTTTTTTTAATTTGACTTCTTTTTTGAAATATATTATATAATCATATTTATTACAATATATATACTTTTAATGAAAATAATAATTCTAATCTTAAAACATTAGAATAAGTATTTAATTCTTTAAAAGAAATATCCCGTAGTATCTCATTCGCATTGTATGTGACAATTATGGTTTTTTAAATGCTTTATAATTATACTTTCTTTTAACTTTCTGTTTTAACATTACACAATGATTTGATATAGATGTATTTTATTTAATAATGGATTTAACAATGCAATATTAATTCTTTATTTCATAATGTTTATTAATTAAATTTCTTAAATTTTTGAGAAATTATATAAATAAATAAATATTTAAAATTAAAATTGTTAATCTAAAAATAAGAAATGTATGTCTCATACAATTATAGATTTGCAATTTAGATTGATGAAAGTATATTACTTACAAGAAGTAATTATGATTTTAATATTTTTTTGAAAATAAATCAATTTAATTCAGAAAACATAATATTATTTTTTATAATCGTATAATGTAAATGTTTTAAAAAAATATATTTTATTTAAAAAAAACTAGAATAATTTAAATTGAAATTTGTCAGTTAAACACTAATATAAAAACATCTCTATTTATAATAGTGTCGTATTACGTCTTTAGTCTGACGTAATTCAAATCTGGAATGCAATACAATTTTAAACTGAATCTCAAACATAACTTGGAGTCGTAAGTTCAAGGTTCCTGTGATTCGATATAATTATCAATTCATTCATTTTCTACTTATCATATTGCATGTAAAGTACATAAAAGTACATAAATGAATAAGTGATCTATATTTATTATTATGTTAATGAAAAAAAAAATTAAAAAATTTATAAAATTTATATAAAAAAATTTATGATAAAAAAAACAAATAATATTAATATTAAAACAATCAATTTCACAAACTTATAAAATTTTATATTCCAATTTATTAAAAAAATAAATATTAAAAGGATCAATTACACAAAATTCCTTTATTTTCAATTCTAACCGAAGAATAGCATTTTCCTACTATATCATCAGAGTTTTATTAAACTCTGTCAAAGAGGATTTCTATGTGAAGCGTCATAATAAATAGTGCAATACATATTGAAATATATTACATGCCTTTTTCTACATTATTGTTAAAGAAAATATCAAATATTTTTATAAAAAATATTTTGTATAATGTACATTATATATTGTTTTATTATATCAATAATTTTATATTTATATCAATAATATATCAATAAATATAATACTATTTTATTTTTTTTTCGAAGGTAAGAATACTATTATAATAATTCTAAAGCAGATGATATAATTGTCGTGCGTGGGTGCGTAAGATGCGTGCACGATTTACTGTGCGTGATTCTGCGCGATGGGGGAAGGTTGGTGTAATGGGTGGGGTCTAAACGATGAATCCCTTCTCTTCTCATATCTGATTCGATCTGATTCGAGTCAGTTTCGAGTGGTCTACCAGTATCCTTTGTATTTGACGCGTAATACTACATTCACCGATATCCATGTAATGGCAGTATTAAATAAGCATGAAGCAAATATTAGTTACAGATCGTAGGTGTCTGAAAATTAATCAAGTCTTTTGTAATTTTCAAACACATCTTTAAATCAAACTGTTTGGAACTTTAATAATTTACAAGAGTTCATTATAATTTTCAAGAGTAACTGCTTTTATAGTTCATCTGTCAAGATAACGAATGTATTGCGAAATTCTACGGAAGAGGTGTGGAAATCTTATCAGGATTATCAGCGCTACATTAGATGTACTGATCTAAGTTGTCTTGATTTATATCCTGTGTAATGTGAATGAATTTTGTGCCTAACATTCCTAAATCACAGGAAAATATTTGGCAAATGTACAGAAAATTCGCCCTTCGCCTAATACTTATCTGAATCATTCAATTGACCGTCTGCATGGAGGTTAGCAGACAATATTCTATTTATATACATGCACGTAATGGTATATAATTGTTTATAATGAAAATCCTCTGTTTCAAGGTGTTCACTATATAAACATATCAATATTGGAAATCGAAAACTTGCTGTTTAAATAAAATGTAATTCGTTTAATGGTTATAATGAAGTGATTATATCTGCAAATTTTTACACATTTTCTGCATTTATATGTTATCTATATGATATATATATTTAATATACGTATATATTCGTAAGTAAAATTAAGATTATTAAAATTAACAGCATATCAATATATTTATTAATATAATTTGTTAATATTGATATAATAAGATTTTATAGTTTAAAACATTCTTACAAATAATAATAAATTTAAAAAATTTTAAATATTAATTAAATATTAATTTTAATTTTTTTTAGATATTATAATATATTTAAATAGATAAATTATTTATTCATAATGGAAAAAAGAAGTATCAGTGGAAAAGATATCTTAAGAATGGATGGTCTTTTACCACCAACTCGACGCTTACCTGTCTGTAATGCTGTGACTTCTACAGATAAGAAAAAAGAAAAAAAATGGTCAATTGGTGGAATTTTGAAAAGAATATCATCAATTCGTGATTATGATAGTTCTTCTAATGATGAAGAAATTGTATATTGTACAAGACAACCAAAATCTCGCACAGTATTTAATAGAAAATTACATAATGTTGTGCTTCAACCAATTGAAAAGAATTCAAATCAACATTTAAATATTAATGATACTACAAAATCAATGGATATAACAAATTTACAAAAAGATTCTTTGAATTCTCGTAGTAGTGATGGATCATTGGATGGATTAAGTAAAAAAGCAAGGAAAAATAAATTAAAAGCACGAGTAGAAGCAAAACGAGACCGTATTTGTGCAGATAGTAGTTCAGATGAAGATTCACGTAAATCTTGTAATTCATTGACAAGATATCAAAATGAAATTGCTGCACATAGTACACAGAAAAATATTTCTTGTAATAGAAAAAGTCGTGCAGCACGTACTGAACGTTATATAAAACGTTTATCAAGAGATGAAGGTCACAAGTTTCCAGAAAATTTAAACAATATAACAAATAAACGCACCAGTCTTGATTTCATGAATGAAGAACAATCATCTGTTTCTACAGATGCAAATGAACCATTTCAATTTTCAGAACAATCATCATACTATATCAATTATTCTAACAGTAATACCTTTCCAATAAAAAAATCTGCTGAAAATCTACGACAATCTGGATTGATTGTACCTAATTTACAAACAAAATCATCTACTGATCTCACAAAATATCCAATGAGCCAATATATAACAGATTTAAACCAAAATAATACTTATGCAAAACCAAATGTTTTATACAGAAATAAAAATAATTTAAATCAAGAAGAAAATAATGTTTTCAATTTATCTATGGCTAGTAATACAATTTATGCTGATCCATATGATTATACGAGAAATCGTCAGTTTGCGAGTCGAAGTTCTTCTCCACCTGAACCTCCACCAAGAGATCCACGTCGAATTTTTACTTATGGTTGTAATTCTTTTCCATTGAATGAAAACTTTGGTGCAATGAAATACGATGATACTTTACGTACTAAAATGAACGATATACATGAAGTTACTAAAGATCATGTAAAAAGTTTAAGATCCTATGATTCAAATAATGAAATCAGTTGGTGTGGCTCGATTAAACATTGTCCACGACGTCCATTGTCTTTAACTATAAGCTCAACACCATCTTGTAATTTATCAGAATGTACAAACAATAGACACAATTCAACTGGCAGACACATAGATGAACCGATGTTTAAAGAAACAGAAGCAATGAAATGTCAAAGGAGAAATGATCGAAATGATCAACTTACTTCAAGCTTTAAAAATTATGATACCAAAATGCGTGAAAATAGATTATCTACTACTTATATTAAAAACATGCATAATAATTCCGTTTCACCTACTATTAATAAGTCTTTGGATAGTTCCTATACGAAATCACCAATAAAACAAATTTCAATCGAAAATTTTTATAATTTACCAAATGATACATTTGTTGATCATTTAAAAATGGAAGAAAATCAATTAATTAGTGAACAAGACACTTTAGAAAAAAAAAGAAGTTCTAAAAATCTTGAAGAAGCGCTTTCTGAACTTGAAGCAATATATAATAGCCTCCGTTTAGGAGATGAAGATCTTCTTGATAGAGCCGAACGACGTAGTATGGAAGAATTTAGTCTTCGTCAAGCAAAAACCAATACTATTTCATATATTTCAGAAGATTCTACAGATAGAACAAAAGATGATATGGCTTACAGAAGAATGCATCCTAAAGAGAGACCTGCATCATTGTCGGAAGTGGTTGGTCAATCTGCACTCTCTAATATCAGTTATCTGATAGCTTCGCCTATTTTATCACGCAAAGATATAACTGATGATTATCTATATGCTGGAAATTGTGCATCGCGTCGAGACGAACCAGATGTGACACGAGATGATGTTGTTTATCGGAGCATTCAACATGCTAATAACACATTAAAGATAATTGATCCTCAACCTCCATTTGGAATTCCTTTAGGACCGGTAACGGCTGCCACAGAAAGCGACTATTTACACACCACACCAACTAAACCAGACTATCCTCGTTCGTCATACATACCACAGTGCGAGCCTGACATTGTTACCGATGATTTGGCTTATAGAGCTCTCAGAAAGGATGCCAATACATCGAAAAACATTGTTGAAAGTAAAAACAGTATTATTAGAGATCAGGAAATTACTTTTGGTACCAAAAAGAAACGAGCGGTTAGATCTTTATCTGCTAATTTATACGGTTTAATTAATCATGATAGAATTCATCTTCGAAGAGAACCTAGTCTTCAAGAGATCAAAGATGAAATGAGTAACACTATAATAGATATGAAATCTTTACCGATACGATCAGATAGACGCGTTGTAAGCGATGGTGAACTTTCCGATTATGATCGATGGCATTCTGATAGTTTATTGAGAAATTCTAAAAC